TTTAATAATTTATTTTTTAAAATATTAATTAAAAATAAAAATTTAAATACATCTTAAAATAAATTATGAAAATACCGACATGTAAAACTCTATTTCCTTTAAAAGCAATGGATATGCAAAGAAGAGCAGTGCTAGGGGCACTCGCTTTTTCCACTCTCCGGCCAACACTTCCCCTTTCATTGGGCCACGTAAGCTTCTTAGCTTTCAGGGGCAACTTCTTATAACCAAAATAACGTGGCCCAATAAAAGAGAAAGTGTTGGCCGGAGAGTGCAGGAGGCGAGTGCAGGAGGCGAGTGCCCCTAGCATTGCTCATGCAAAGAAAATGCATCTCGACGGGGAGTAAGACTCCGCTGGAGCCCGTCCACTACAAACTTGACACACCAGCTAGTTTGCTCTCCGTTTGTCTACTTTGCTCCGTTAACATTCCCTCACAGTTGCCCTAATATAACAAATAAGAGAATAGTTGAATTGTTGAACTAGTATTTATTAATTTAAAATTAAAATTAAAAAATAAAATTTCTGTAATATTTAATAATTAATTTCTAATGTATCAAAAAAAAAAAAAAAAAAAACCACGGTGCCCTGCCCTTTAATGTCAATTGGCCCACAGGATTGATGTGTTAAGTTTTCAATGGACAATATCCGTGACCTGAAATTAGAGACTTTCTCATTGACTGAATTTAACAAATAGTTTATTGACTATTATTTTTTTACTTATTTTATCTATTAATTATTTTTTTTTATCAAACTAGTGTATTAATAAAATTTATATTTTTATCTACACTTTTTTAATATTTGTCTAGTCTGTTAAAGATCCATCTATGAACTAACGGAAGTCCTCATTGGCACCTATGTGGCACCAAATTAGTTCCCACATAGGCACCACATGGTCAATTTAATTAATATTATAAAATTTAAACTTCCAATTATTAAAATTAATTTTTTAATTAACTAAACTCTAAGTCATGGTAAAAAGTGACGCCTATCTAACTTTTTTCATAATCAAGTCTCCCTCAAGCTTACCTTAGAAAGGCCTCAAATTTTTTTTTTTTTATAATCAATCTCACTTGATTGAATTAAATTAATAAATTTGAAACTGATTGTCATCAAAAATAAATTTGGAACTGAAAAAAAAAAAAAAAAAAACTAGGACCTAAAGGATGTAAAATTTTGTTTTGGAACTTAATTGAATAAAATTAAAAGCTTATATATTTTAAAACATGGATTGTTTAGCCATGTGGCACCTATGTGACAGCTCATCTATGTGGCTGCCACATATGTGCCGGCGGGGATTTCCGTTAGTCCCATGCTGGCAACTTTAATGGATTATATATTGATACAACTTTGAAAATCAATAGATTGGTTAGATAAGAAAAAATAGTTAATTGACAAAATAATTAACAATTATGGCAATAATTAAAAAACTATTTGTTACATTTAGCCCCGAAGGAGAACGGTAAGGTTCTTGACGGTGGTTCATGATGGTGAAAATCTTAACCTCATTTTTCATTAAAAATATAATGTCTTGAATCTTACATTGATAAAAATTTATAAGTGAGTTTAATATATAAATATAGAGATCAAAAACTACAAATAATTTAAATTTAAAATTTTGAAAGTTTATAAACTTCAACTCAAAAATTATTAAATTTGTGATGAACTAAGTTTTTTTTTTTTTTAGAATATGGGGAAATTTGAGGGAAGAAGGATAATTAAGCTGGTATTGCAGCGGAATTGAATCCTGACATTTACCAAAAATTCTATGCACCTAAACTAAAGCAGCTGATCCGATCAACAGGGTCTCTTTGACTAACCAAGAGAAGAAATATTATACATAGCCAATTGCTACTTGAGAGGAATCAGCAAACGGGTCGTTTAGACTAACCAAGAAAGGAAACATAAGATATCTCCTCACTGAAACTTGCCCAATGGGCCACAAGCTTACCCTCTTCCCCGAAATTCCCCATTTAAAGAAAAATATAAGGCTGACTATGGTAACCTAACTTACCCTTCTAAATAAAATTAAAGTTAGTTAATCATAGTTACTTTTACGTAATTATATATATATATATATATATCCTCATTGGGAAATAGGCCAGCAACACGGATCTTTTAGACCATCTAAGAAAGGAAACATTATACATCTCCTACTGGGAAATAAGTCAGTGTCAGCAAAACGGGTCGTTTAGACTTACCAAGAAAGGAAACATTATGTTTCTCCAATTCTCCTTGGTCGTTTTTACTAACCAAGATAGGAAACATTGTATACTTCCTCCTGGGAAATAAGTCCTCACTTCTCTCAGCTGATCCTTAATTTAGACGACTTCCTCACTTCTATCAGCTGATCCTTTAGACGCTTCACATTAGGACATCCTCAGAAACCATTAGGTACGTAACATGAGATCTTCCTTTTTGAGTCGCTATTCCTCTTTTCCTGTTGTTCTTCTTGCTTCTTTTTTTTTTTTTTAACAAATGTATAAATAGGGAAGAAAAGAAATTTAGTTTGAGTTGAATAGCTAGATATGATCATTAATTTACGCGAAATTCTCTGGAACAGAGAAGAAATTGAGAGAAAAGTACTTCAACAAAATAAGACTAATTATCTGAAACTAACCGGAACTAGAGTACATACCACCATTGATAGCATCAATTCCAGACGTTAAAATAGAAATAATGACCAAACAGCTTGTTGTAGTCCGTTGTTATATGTTTTGTGGTTAAAAGTTTTCAACGACAGAGACATTTTACCTGTCCCTATAAGTGAATCATATCTCGTCATTAAAATATAATCCTTGTTTTCAACAAATTAGTTTATAACAAGAGTAATCTTATTATTGAAAGGTTAATACTATTATTGAAAGGTTGATAGTTTTTAAAATAAAAATATATACAACTACCACTATTGTTTCAACTATGGCTACTGCCTGTCACTATTTAAGATGTTGATTTAGAATATTTTGATTAATATAATCATTAATGACAGGTATTATGATTATTAACCATTAACTATAAAATTACCATAATTATTTTGTTAGTGTTAACCACAATAACAAGATCACCCATAAATGATGTGGTAATTAATTCAAATATCATCTACTCTTAAAGGCAATATTCAGCGGTTATACCATATTCACAACAATAAATATAATAATAACAATATATAAAAAGTAAAAACCATATATAATTTTCTATTAAATTATCAAAAATTAGATGTTTACATACACAAAGGTTAACGCCAGCTATATCCAAAAGTACTAATAAGTCTTTCATTCAATTTCTATATGCCCCTTGTCCAAAAGTACCAAAAGTAGACAGATTAACTTAAACTCAAATTAATGTTGTTGAGACCCCTTTCCACCTGCAAATGCAAATATATAAAATTACTATTAGTTCTCACAAAGACACTAACACAGCATAATCAAGAAAGAAATCTACTAACCCCAATGGGGTGGCTCAGTGATTAAGAACTTGAGATTCCAAGTTGGAGATCTCAAGTTCGAACCTTGAGTTGGACGGGGAGGAATTTAGGGAAAGGGAAGGGCTATCCCCTCTTGTATAACCGATTCAGATGTACCAAAAAAAAAAAAAAGGAAAGAAATCTGCTAGCTTTCAAGAGATTAACCTCCAAAAATTAATCATGCATCAAACTTTACTCCTGTACAACAAGAAATATATATGCATTGTTCAAAAGCTAAAGAAACCCTACCACAAAACTAAAGGAATTCCTTAGCAGCGAGATAAAAATCAACATGCTATCTTAACCACAAACAAAATTATGTTTGTAATTCCAAGCAAACAACATATGTTGACTCATTGGAATGATCTTAATTAGTTTATAGCTCAAACAATCCATTTTCACTAACAAGTTTATCTTTAGATCAAGTATCATTTCTGGCGAACCAAAAAGTCCATACACAAGGAAAGAAATACAAATTTTTTAAACCAAGCATGTTGCAGAAAAGAGTTTAAAATTAGACAGCAAAGCACATTCTAGACCTCACCAAGGAAAACTCTTCATTTATAAGCTACAAGCTAATCACACATTAAGCACAAATGCTTGGAATCCTGTTCTTTCTTGCCACAAAACAGAGCATGCCATAAGGAAACACAACCAAATGAATGTGCATTTCTTTTAAAGATGACTTCACATCAAAAAGATAATAAAAAGTGCACCCATAGGAAAACACTAGTGCTTTTGGGTAACTAGGAGCTTAGCATACATTTTCACCTTTAAGTGACATAGGCATACTAGAAAGGCAAGCTAAAATTACACTAAAAAAAGAGAGTTGGTAAATTAATTATTTTGCCACTGGCACTGCAATCAACAAATTAAGATGATACTAAACCTTAATCAATATTTATCTCATACCAAAAAGAAATTGCAACTTTGCTTGGCTATATTTAAATGATCACAACTCAAGTTGGAATTCCTCATGCTTGCTTCACTTCTTATTGGTTATTGTAGGAAGCAACAGCACTGTCAACATATACCATTCCCACCTAAACAAAATAGCTACATATAGTTTAAGTTGCATACTCTAATTTCAAAATAGTTCCAACTTTGAACTGCCCCTTTGCTGTCATTTTCCCAAGCAGACACACAATGCACAGGAAACACAATGAATAAATTCAATTTACTTAAAATCATCTCAACAACCAAAACAATACACTAGCCTAATAAAGCAAAGAATTATCTCCAGAAATCCCCCCTTCAATTTAGGGATAAGGTGATAAAATTGCAAAAGAATTGCAGCTAACTCAAGGTGATAAAATTGTAATATAATCAATTAGTAGCAAGAACCATTTATTTAGAACCATATCAGTATGATTTTAATTGATATGCTGCAAGAAAAAATCAAGCAATTAGTAGCTTTATCACCAAAGAGTCATTGAAATTGATTTTTATGACATATTATCAAAAAGTAGAGGATTATGACAAAGAAACCAAGTTAACATTGTATAAGTTTGAAATGTTGTAGAATATGCTAGCAGCATATTTACTGAAATTGAATGTTAATTTGTTTAATTGAAAATTTTACCTTTAGTATACATGTCCCAGTAGAGGAAGGGTAAACCACCATTCTGCCACTCATTGACAAGAGAAACCAAGCACCTTGGTCACACATGCTAAGAGACAGATAAAAGTAAAAATATCAGTGAAGCTAATGAAATAGAATATTTTCAATAAAGTTGGAGAACTGAGATGTCACTGGCCTAATCTAGTTCTTCATCCCAAATCTTATTTCTCAAATATCAATTTGAAAGTTCCTGAGGTCCTTTTCTTAAATTCTTAGAAAACAGAAAAAATTAAAAGAAATGTTAATTAGTAGCTGACATATTGCACTAACCTTTATTTGAAATAAAATAAATAAAAAAAGAACCTTCAAAATAGAAAACTAACCATAGTCAATGGCAATAGCTTCCTCTGAATCATCTTTATCTGTACCAACCACTCATTCTAGTAAAGATTCTATTGTTTTGTTTATTCAAAGATCAATACACCATTCGCCAAAAAACCATCAAATAATCAAATACAAGAAATGGGCTCAAGTCCATTGTTATGACCATCAAAACCAAGCAAAAGACATTTAAAACAGAAAAGAAGAAAAAACAAAGGCAACAAGAAAACAAGAAGGAAAATTGCTGGTATGATCTGTCCAGTTTCCCTTCTCTAAGTGAATTTTAATTGAGCTAAGACAGATAATTGCACTCGGCACCTATGAGTACAATTTTCCCGGGACCGTTAAAGATTCCATTCTATCTCTGAGTTTCTTCAACAGGAGAAGTGAAAGAAAGAACAATCAGAACACACCACTTTGTAACTAGCAATGCACTTTATCAAAGAAGATTATTGGAACCAATAAACTGCCAACAATGGGTCAAGTAAAGTAACCATTTTTCCAAAAACAAAACTATCATCAAAGCTAGTTTTATAAATATTAAGAAAATTCTCAAAAAGGAAATTAAAAATTAAAATTCCTAATTTTGAAATCCAAAAACTTAAATGTTAGGGTTCGTGCAGCCTAAAATCTACCAGTTCAAATCCCTAAAACAATCCAAAGGCAAAGAGAAAAGAGAAGAACAACAAAATTTAACCCAAATCAATATCTATAACCGAAGTGAAGAAAGTATCAAACAAGGCTTACCAGCAAAAGGAATCTGCATGAGTGCATCCAGTACTACAATCAAAGAGAAGAGAAAAGTGAGAACGCTAAAGGAGAAGAAATTGAAAACTGAGGGGGGATGAGAGAAATAAACAGAGAAGAAATTCAAATTGATCAGAACTGAGCGAATAGAACGAAAAGGAAGAAATCAGTTTGATTTTTTGAGAAAAGGGAAAGAGATCTAAGGATCTGAAAGGCGATTTTGAGAGGAGATCCAAGGTGATTTGCTCGGTAGGAGGTCCGAGGCGACTTGCTCTGCAGAAGATTCGAGGCGCTTTGCTCAGCTTAGGTATTAGTTTTAGACTTTTAGTAGAAGAGGAAATTTTAGGGGAGAAGAGACTAGAGAGCTAAAAATCTAAAAATGGAGAAACACGAACAATTTAATTTCCTTTCTTTAAGAAGTTTTTTTAAAAAATTAAGGCGCTGGATCGTTTAGGCCCCAAATCCAACGAAGCTCTCTTTTCATTTTCAGATTATTATTTTCTTTTAGTTTTGTCCAGAATCACATGCTGCCACCGCCAAAACAACCCACCTATTATTTTTGTAAAATTTAGATGACTAATAATGACGGTCATTGAAAAACATAGGAAATACACCTATAAAAACGGGATTTTTATTTGGTGGTGGAAGTTCAAAAATTGTCAACATGTTAACGACGGGACATAAAACTAGTCGTTATTTGAGTAAATTAACCACCAACTTTAATGACAGGATTCTGAATTTTGGTCGCTGAAAGTCATATTTGTTGTAACGAGTAAGGTCATTAGCTTTGTTGAAATCGTTATCCTCTCTAGCCTTGAGGATTTGAAAGAGAAGAGGAAGCTAAAAACGTGTTGTCGCAGCACTCTGCTGGGAAATGAGCTGAGTTTCCTTCCAGCTGAGGTGGTGACATTATTGGGATTCAATCATTTTAAACTTTCTAACTTTTCTTTGCTCCTCCTTGATGCATTTTTGATAATCAGTGTCGATAACGACATCACTGTTTACATATATGTGTTCCGACCTAATAAAAAGTGTAGTGTTGATGAGGACTCTAGTAATCATCAGTGACATCACAACTACGTGAAAAAAAGTGAGTGAGAAGCAACATAGTTCCTCAAAAAAGTATTCAAAAAAGCATGTGCAAAATAGTTCCTACACAAAGTATGTGCAAAATGGTTCCTACAAAAAGTATGTGCAAAATGGTGTCGATTAAAGATATATAAGATATATAAGTGTGAAAACCAATGTGCAAAATGGTTCCTACAAAAAGTATGTGCAAAATGGTTCCTAGTGTCGATTAAAGATATATAAGATACATAAGTGTGAAAACCAATGTGCAAAATGGTTCCTACAAAAAGTATGTGCAAAATGGTTCCTACACAAAGTATGTGCAAAATGGTTCCTA